GGAGAGGTTCAACCATCACTTCTCTCACCTTCTCCATCACCAGGCTTTTAAAAAAAGGTTATTTATTTAAAAAAGTTGGGCTTATGCTTATAAACATGTTAGGTCTAATAGGTTAGTCTATTTATCTATATGATATAATAAAAAATAATATAAATAATATTATTAAATATTATTAAATAAATAAATTTGTAATACAAAAAAAATTAAATTATCAATATTTTTGACATTTTCACTTCTCTTCAATATTTTACGTATCTGTTCATACGAAATAAAATAAAGAAAATTGAAAATTTAGCAGCCACATATCTTCACCTACTTTTTTCCTTTATTTTCATGATTGGTTATTTATAGAGGCGTTAAAACGAGTCAAACTCGATAGGCCAACCTGGCTCACCACATGTCCAAGCCAAGCTAAGTTAAGAGAAAAAAAAACTTATCAATTGTTACTTAAATTCAACTCGACTCACTTAACTCGTGAGTTAAATGGGTTTGAACCTAACCTGAGTTAGCCCATTTAACTTATTAAAATTAAAATAAAAAAAAAAAACAAAAACAAATAAGTTACCACCTATCTTTGATCTCCCACTCACAATACCAATAGAGTCACTTAGAAAAGAGAGTTTCATTTTTAAAAATAGAAAGGTGAAAGTGAAAACGAAAGTTATGAAGTAGAAAAAGGAGAAACTAGAAACCCTATCACCTTCGCTTATCCCTATCCGTGCAACTTCCCAACTTCCCAACTTGTTTTTCCAAATGAACAAGATTTTGTATTAGAGGAAACCTAAGGGATGAAAGATATGAATCCATATAATGTAAGTTAAATTAATTTTTAATTATTTGTATTTGCATTTGTTAATTTATTATATGATATTTCATATTTGTTAATTTATTTTATTTTTACTATAATTTCATAATAGGAACACATCAACTATGTGAGCCAAAATGTTAATATTACTAGCAAGTTTGAGTTAATTCTTTATTTGACTGAAACACCACTTGAGCCAAAGTTTTTTCCCATGTTGGATGTTTTGAGCTATTAGAAGGACCGCTAAGAATCACTACTACAGGATGTATCATCTACATCAGTTCTGTGAGGTAATCTACATCGGTTCTAAAACCGATGTAAAATAAGGCGATGTAGAAATACATACACTTCTACATCGGTTTTGAAACCGATGTAGATTTGTGCAAAATCTACATCGATTTTGCTGATAACCAATATAGATTTGTGCTAAAATCTACATCGATTCTACTGACAACCGATGTAGATTGCATTTTTTTTTAAAAAAAATTCATTTATTTTTTTGATTCTTTCTAATTACCTGACATAGAAAACACTTAAAATTTTAACTTTTTTTATAACACGCGTCAAGAAAGGTGAAAACTAAAATTAATATATATATATATATATATATATATAAAAGAGACAACACCATCTTCTATGGAATCTTTGCAAGCACACCTAATGCAATTTCAACAAAATAATACAGGAAGAGGTTAAAATTTTCATCAAAAGAGGTCAGTTTCAAATTCAACAAAACAATAGAATAAAAGGAAAATATTTCAACAGAGAAGGAGGTATATTAAACAAGCCTTAGTGCAGGTTTGGTCACATTACTACTGCAGGGAAAAAGTAACTCTATAAGTGCCAAATCTATGCTTTAAGTATCTTTAAGAATTGATATTGAAATAATTACAATATGTGAATGATAGAAAAGATAGAGAAAAGTTTATCATTTCAGCCTAAAGCCTATTTGGACAAAACTTCTTAAGAAACATATATAGAGGAAGAAAATAAGAAAACATAATTAAACTTCTATCGCATGTTAAAATTTACATACGCAAAAGTTAAAATTCATTTTTAAAGAAGTTTCTATATAGTAGTATATGCATCTATTAGTTAATTTTAATTTACGAGAGAAACTTAGTTCATTTTACTTTTTTATTTTATTTTATTATAAGTGTCTATTGGAAAAACAGGACTGAATATAAAATAATTTCTAGTGTTGGTGAAACTCGGCGTATCAATATTCGATGTGTTAAAAAGCAAAAGAGAGAATTACCAGTTAATTCAATAATTCATTGAGGCAATCAAACTCTAGATTTGCGACTTTGCAAATGATACAAGCAAACATGCAGACAATAGTTATATGCATTATTATGTTAATCAAATAATGTACTACGAAGGCATAGATTAAAATCAATATGACATGACACTTCTCGACATGATTTATGTAATGAGAGATAAAAATCTAACAGTGGATTTCATGAAACTTTTATCTTAAATTATGTATTCCCTATTGTCGATTGTGAATCCAAAGGCTGCCTCTAACATCCATTGGAACGGCACAACCCAAAAAAGGGTTTTTGAAAAGAAGGTTTGTTAATCTCCTAATAGTAAATAAACTTGTCCATAGTTTTCAATTTATTTTAGAAAATGACTAATAACTACCTGGGTTATTTGCCTTAAATCAAATTGTTGCCTATCCACCATTTGGTTTAAAGTTTTAAACCCCAACATATTTACAAGAGAGTTTCAGCAAGATCAATTAATAATAGAACAAACCATTGATAATCAGAAATTTTATAGACTAACTTCACCTGTCAATCGACACCACAGCTCAGAACTGAAGGAGGCAATGGAGTTGCACTTGCATACCTTGAAACATCAATAAAAGCACTAGTTGATACATTTTATCAGCAAAAATACTTATGATTTAATCAAATTAAATTCATTTTTCCTTAGTGATTAAGATGATCTAATTAAATAACAAAACAAGTTTCAAGAATCATCAACCGTGTCCTCCAAAATTTACTGCTACATGAAGAAGAAGCTGTTACTAATTCTATCATTAGAAAAATCATAAGACCCTTACCAAGGTGCACTACTTATAATACCAACACGATCAATTCTGCAAGTATCCTGAGTTGTTTGTGGTACATTTTTATAAGCCCCTCCCACACTGAGAAGATGAGCATAAATCCACACAATTGTCACTGAGAATAAAACTGCAAATCGATAAACGATAGGCTTTTCTCCTTTCATCACGTGAGGAATGTACTGTGCAAAGAAATGTCACTACTTTATAATGCAACATTTAAATTGAAGAAAGTAAAGAAAAAGAAATTAAATTTATCATAATTTTGTCTTTGGTAGGTTAGGTACTTGGGGTTATTTTTAAAGATGTACGAAATGATGCAAGGCAATTTAACATCATGAGAATCATAGATCACCTATAAAAATACAAGTAAGATTACAATTTTTGGCAGCCCAATCTCCACACATTTTGCAAGCTAAAATTCAAAATACATGATCAAGAAAGTGTGAATCATAACAGTCATATAATTCGTACATGTAGGAAAGAAATAAGGACTAGTTCTTGTTGCAGATATCAATACCACAGGAAAGCCCAACTCATAAAGTCCAAAACCTGACAGAGCAACCAAGGGAACAGCAGAGAGAGGGCTCAAGAACCTGAAAAGATATAGTAAATTACTCACCAACATGATTTTAAGAGGCTGAAAGTCTAATTAACCAAGTTCTCAATTGTGCTTCAATAGGAAGAGAAAGCAAAAGTGATCCAGACTCAGCTGTTTGTGGCTGGCATAAACACATTTTTCCACATTCATTTCACAATTCACAGATAACTAACCATTGATAATAAGAAATTTTGACACCAGCCTTGGCAACACAAGGATTAACTAGCGGAACTACATCGAATTCATTAGGCACCGTTGTCCTCAGAGACACCTCAAACACCTTCACCAACTATTTTTTTAACACTCGTTAGACAATCCAATTCCTATATATAGATAGATATATTTCATTTCAAACACAAACTAAAATCAGCGTGCACAACACCACAACCACAAGTAAATGGAAATCGACAATTGCAAATTAAAATCAATGAAATGATGATTAATTGATTAATTAATTTTTAATTTGGAAATGGAAGCTCGGTGAACTCACAATATACGCCATGGAATTGGACTGTGGTTGCGGCTGTTGAATTGAAACGTTCAGAGAAACTGTTTACACAACAACAACATTGGAAACAAAACTACGTCGGGTTAGTGAATTGCGTAAAAAATGAAAAGAGAAAAAGAGAGGCGCGTTGAGAGAAGACGAACCTGAAGCAGAGAAGAAAGAGTTTGCTGAAATGGGAGCGCACGATAACGACGCAACTAAGGGAGTCATCATCTAGTGAAATGGCTTCAACCTCAACCTCAATCTCCTTGAGAACCCTACCTTGTGGCACCTCCACCATCGCCTCCCTCAACCTCGGAGCGCCCCGCCCCCGTCGAAGAGGATGTGACACCTTTACTACCCCAACACATACATTATAATAATCTAATTAAATTAAGAAGAATACATTTTTAAAGTTGGTAAAAGGGTTCACATGAGAAACTTTAAAAATCGTTCTCCAATAATCACAATATTAAAGATTACAAATTATTTTAAAAATGATATTTACAATTTCAAATCCATATAAAAATTTTGTCCTAAAAGTCCTCTGCCCCGATGTCACAATATCAGAGCATACCCCTAATTTAACTGTTGGCATTCTAGATGTCACTCGCAGCCGGAACTTCCTCACCTAAAACATCCACAAAATTGTACGGTGAGAAAAGAAAACATCTATATGTAAAGTACATACAAACACACAACATATCATCTCATTATAACTCGATACTTAACAAAATATTCATAACCATTTCAATGTATCATAATTTATCAATCCAGCATCACGTCACAATTCGCAATCACAACAATCATCACAAATCTTGCAATCAACCATATATGTCAAGGTCACACCTATAGCATCTCTTGCCCAAGGTCGTGCCACCCCCGACATAAGTATTAATTGTCTCACACATCCCACCCTATGCCAAGGGTACACGTCCTTGATATATCACCTACCCAGGGTTCGTATCATCCCTGATCATCTAGGAGTACGCTCGTCCTTGAAGCATCACCTACCCAGGGTTCGTATCATCCGTGATCAGCTAGGAGTACGCTCGTCCCTGAAGCATCACCTACCTAGGGTTCGTATCATCCGTGATCATCTAGGAGTACGTTCGTCCCTGAAGCATCACCTACCCAGGGTTCGTATCATCCGTGATCATCCAGGAGCGCTCGTCCCTCAGCATTAGTGTGAGGAAACACATCGCAATCACATTCATAATCATGTCCATACAACATCTCATCCAATATCACGATTCCATATCACATACACAATTCCATATCACATACTCAACAGATACGTCTAACAAAATAAGGGTTTACACATTCCTCAAGCAATTCACATCTAGATTATCAATTCTTATTAAATAATATAACATTAACATTCATAAATTAATATAATACTCAACAAAATTACCAATTTAATATAATTTCAACATAACGGTAAAACCCCCAATTGTTCCAAAATCTAGCCCACATGCACTTTTCTACAGTTTCGTTCTCCCTCTCAGATCATCATTCTTACAAATTAAATATATATTTCTAGTCCTCAACACATACAGAATCTAATGGGATCCTCAATTTCTCAAACAGAAATAGTCAAATTTTTCCCAAAACTTAACTTACAGGCATTTTTCTATAATTTCGTTCTCTCTCCCAGAGCATCATTTTTACAAATAAAATATATATTCATAATCCTAAATTCATACAGAATCACACAAAACAATGAATTCTCTAAACAGAAATAATTATAAAATTAGGGTTCTTCCTCTACCCAATTCCCTCGTGTAACTCTACATATAAATAGTCCCATTTTCCCCCGTACCTGGATATGTAGAAGTTGAACCTACACAAGATTTGGTTGGTCTCCCTCGCTGGGTTCCCCTGGGTCTAAAGTAGAAAGTAGAGAGAAAAGAAGAGAGAGCAGAAGAAAAGAAATCAGAAAGTGAGAGGTGTGTCTTTTTAGAGTGGTAGAGAGCTCAATTTATAGGCCTCAGGCTTCGCCGGAACTGCCCGTTCCAAATTCGGAACGGCCCGTTCTGAACCATAAAAACATGAGTAAAAATCACACCCAGAACGGCCCGTTCTCAAACCAGAACGGCCCGTTCTAGTGTGCATTTATTACCCACAACTGCCATAGCCCGTTCCCACTTAAAGTTTAAAGCAGTTTTTAATAGTCCGGAATGGCCCGTTCCAACTTGAGAACGGCCCGTTCTAGGCTATTAACTCACCTACAATTTGGTAGTTTGGAACAACCCGTTCCAAACTACTAAATCACACACATTTTGGTAGTTTGGAACGGCCCGCTCCAATTCCCGAACAGCCCGTTCCAAGCTACTAAATCACCCATATACCTTTATAAAATTACCAGAATACCCTCAATTAAAATAAATAAAAAGTGAAATAAAACTTGGGGTGTTACAGGGGATGGCGTTGATTTCTGGAAGAGATGAAGCACGCTTGCAAAGCCTCCCAACCAAAGATGAAGCACCATAAGGGTGGAGATCGATGGCAGAGATGGGGAATCCACCATTCTCTCCTAATTAGGGTTTTGTGGCTCGAAGGTCAGCACCAAAAGAGCCCGCGAGAGTGCTGTGTCGAGACAGTTGCGTGTGTGTTGAGGGTCGTGGAAATTTTCCTTCACTTCTACATCGGTCAAGTGTAAACCTGATGTAGAATAATTTTGTAATTTCATTTCTACATTGGTCAATAATAAAATTGATGTAAAATTTTTCATATCTACATTGTTTTTCCACAAAACCGATGTAAATATGCTTACATCTTTTATTTATTTACAAAATTTCCACCGCATTTCTTATTTACGTCATTTCTATTGGAACCGATATAAATATAGCGATGTTAAACAGTGTTTTTCTAGTAGTGAATGTTATTCAAATCTTTGTAGGCTGGCATGTGATGTATTAAGCATTCCTATAACAACAATTGTGAGTCTACATTTAACATTAGTGCTTGTGTACTTAATAAGTATCATTCTTGTCTTCTTCCGACCAATGTCCAAGCATTAATTTTAACCCAAAATTAGTAAATTGGCTTTGAAGATTTGGGTAATTTATACCACTTGTTAATTGTTTGTTATTGTAATAATTAAAAAAATTCATTAATCATTACTAAAGCTACCTTCTCTTCTTTTGATGAAAACCTACCAAGGATCACTTTGGAAGTGATAAATCCAACAAGGGTGAAGGTTAGAGTCTATGATGTAGGACCATTCTTAAAGGCCATAGGACCTTTGACAAGGTCTATGGTTAGGAGGCTAGAGGAAATTACTAGAAAGGATGTGACTCTTAAACCTTTGCTTATCTTAAGCATAGAGTATGTGTTTTCCTCATAGTTGCTTAGTCTTATATTGTATATACTTTGTATAGATTGCTTTCTATTCCTCTATATGTAGTAGTTAAGTGTATAAGTTATTTTTTCCCTTATATCTAAGGGTGTATGTTTCTTTATTTTTTAGGTCATGCCTTTATGATTTATAGGCATGTTTCTTTTTAAAATGTATTCTATTTGACCTTGTATTAATGGTCACCAAATTTTAGTTTTTGGAGTTTAGTAGTTGGAATAGGAATAACCATTCTAGTGATGTGACAATAGTCATTCTAGGGAGTGCAAAAATAAAGAAGGTTGGGAAATAGGCAAAAGTGATATTAGATTTTTTTTCTTCTTATTATTTTGGTCTAAGGAATTGATTTGTCTTGGTTCAACCTTTATTTGGTTAACCAAAGCAAACCAATTCCTTAGTTTTTGGTTCCGCCAAGACAAGCCTAGGCCACCATGGGCCACCTTTTTTGGCTACTTCTTTACTTTGGAGCTACCTCTCCAAACCACCTAGAGACAAGAGAACACTTGACACTTTCTCATTGGCTCTTATAAATATAGTTGTCACCTACATGTCTTAAACATGTCCACTTGGCTTGTTTGTGATTGGTAGAAGTAGACCTAAGTGTCTCCTAATTGTCTCCTAGATGTTTAGCTTCCTCTCTAAGCTACCTAGCTTTATACATAAGAGTTTTGACCAATTTCGTACATACTTTGAGATTTTATAGTGATTTATTTGAGACTTTCTCTCCAAGTTCTCTCTCTCTAAGCTTATTTCTCACTTTGACACCTCTAATTATTTAGAACTATTCTAAATGGGATATAAGAGATATTTGAAAAGTTTTTCTTAGAAAAGATTATCTTTTATCATCACACCTATGCATGAGTGTACATGAGTTGTCCCTCTTACATTAGTTTTTTATTTTTATTTTAAACTATAAATTTTAATAAAAATATAGTAAACTATTTTTTATCATGCAAATTAAAAAAGACTTGCACATGTATTTTAAAATAAATTTGCTAGCTTATTTAAAACTAATTTTATTGACTTATTTAATGTTGTTAATGTAAAATTGAGTTTAAAATATGCTACTAGGCCAAGCCAAACTTTTAAAAAGATTAGATCAAGCTTATAAAAAATACCTATAATAGATAATAAGTTAGGTTTGAGCTTTAATTTTATAGAACAGGTCCAACTTGTATATTCAAAGCCTAACTTGGTTTTGCTTATTCCCATACTTAGTGACAATAGGTTTAAAATCAATGTTTTCAACGATTAGATTGATAGTTTTAGGCTTGGTTCTACTTGTGTAATTTTCATACATTACTTTTGCAGGTTGTCATGAACTGGTATCACGTCAGGCACAAATTATATTACATTGGGCGTTAGAGTAACAAAAAGTATGGGTTGCTCTCCATGGCTTATGCATCAGGTGTGGGGTAGTCCATGCTAGGCACAAGAACTCTAAGGGTTCCCTATGATGAATTCGTTAGGTGTGAACTAGGTCATGCTGGGTGTGGGACCTTCAAAGAGAAACATGTATTCTCTAAGTCCAAACACACACTAGATGCATAATGAGTTTCATCGAACCTTAAGAGAGGATATATTTATGTGGTTGAGAAGTAGCTTGATGATGTTTTACTTGAGAATGTTACTTCGATAACAATATGAGTATAATAAGAATCTTACTATGTTATAATTATCTGTTTAAGGTTAAAGTTAATGACTTGAATTTTTATTCTAAATGTGAATGAGATTGGCATGATAATATATGAAAGTGAATTAGTTATAATTATTGGTTTAAGGTTAAATTTGATTATTTGAATTTTTATTCTAAATATGAATGAGATTGGCATGATAATATGAGTAAGTGAATGTGATGAGAATGAGGTGAGTCAATGAGATACAATTCTGCATAGAGTATTGTACATGAAGCATGCATCATAAGCATGAGTATTTGCCTTCGGTCTATGAGTATACGCCTTTAAGATATAAATAATCACCTTTAGGCAATGAGTATTAGC